CAATCATAGGAGCAACAACATTCACAGGGTGAGGCAATATTCCTCCTTGCTCTGTATGGCCAGGCACAGGAACAGATCCAAACACTGGAAATGTGGATGGATTATATGGAGGAGCAGCAGCAGAGAGTTTCTTGGCCGGTTCCTTTCCAGTCTCAGCATCACTTTGCTTTTCTTCCTCAGGTGGCAAAGGATTAGCACTTCCATTAGATTGATTCTCTGCCTCATTTGGTAATGAACAATTATTTTCATTTTCATTGGACAAATCAAGATTACCCTCTTTATCTTCCACGGTTTCTTTGGAAATAGATGAAGCTTTCTCCAGTAACTGAACAGTACTTTCCGAACCAGCTAGAAGTTGAACATTAGTTGAATTTACTGTGCTGTTACCAACATTATATTTATCTGAACTCTCAGAAGAATCTGAACTCCCTACTCCTGATATGGAATCGTGTCCGTTACCACCAGTGCTTTCAACGGCAGCTTCAGATTTTGAAACAGTCGCAATATCTGTTATTTTTTCTTCACACGCTCCAGTGCTTACTTCTTGTGAAGATTCTGCCCTTAGTGCATCGCTGTGTTCAACTTTTTTCTCCTCAACGCTTTCTTCTATTTCTTTGACACACTCCAACAGATTTTTTTCTCCAATCGTCTTCTGAGCTTGAACTTCCTCACTATTTTCGAATGCTTTTGCGACACTTGTCTCCTTGCTTTCTTCGTGATTTTCTTCCGCGGGACTCTCCTTAGGCAATTGCTCTGCAACAGCCTTAACTATGGTACCTGGTGGAGCTAAAGCAACCTCTTTGTAAGAGAAAAGCTTTCCGGCTGCCTGAACACTGACTGAACCAACAATGGAACCAGCTTTAGTGGCTTCATTAGAAGCTGGGCTGGCAGGTGCTGATTTTGGGTTAGCAGATTTCTCTTTACCAGTAGCAGGCCCAGAAAGATTGTTCAACTTCGGACTGAAGCTAGCACTCTTCGCAAACTTTTTTGAAGCATGAGGGTTTAGTCCAGAAGCAGCAGCATTCTCATTTGAACTTGTTCTTGGAGACGTGAAATTAGTGGGTTTACTTCGGTGTTTAGAAGGATGAGATGTATTCAGAAAGTTGGTGTTCAACTTTGCAAGATTTGGCCTCTTGGAACCAGAGGGCTTGCGGCCTATTGGTAAGCGGGCTTTAGGAAAAGCTTCTTGCCATCCTTCCTCGGAAATGTCATCTTTTACGAAGTCGTCAGTTTGATCCAACAATGTTTTGTCAGCTAAAAATATATCGGTACTCCTGTTGGTGGAGTCTGCAAATTGTGAGTCGAATTTGTTCTCCAACTCAGATCTATTCTCTTTATCACTGGAGTTCTCCAGAACAGGTTCAGCTGGTGAATTCAATTCATCCTTCTCATATTCATCTGTCACTTTTTCACAATTGAGGCCCGCTTTTCCTTTAAGCTGTATGAATAAAGATGATTTTTCATGACAAAAGGTTCATCAGCATAAAGGAGAATGATCAAGGAAATATAAGGAATTAAACTTGAACAATCATATCAATTAAGTAATTCAACCTTAGCACGAGCCAGCTTCTTTTGAGCTTCTCTCGCATCTGGGGTAATATAGTCCAACAGGTCCGACACACTGATTCCATAAATGAACAACAGAGGTGAGGTGATGTAATTCCTGAAGAGATTTGAAATGTAACAGGGAATCCTAAATAGTCACAAAGGACTGTTGTTATCTTGTTTTGAAGGGGACCATAATCCTTTAAATCCGGTACCAAGGGGTATTAGAATCATAAGATAAGAGTTAAGACGATTATTTCAGATTGATCGGAACAAGTAGATGTAATCTTATTTGATTAAAATGGTTGATAACAGCATTGGGCCATGTGATTACACAAAATTCTCTCATTTTTATCCTGGAAGAATTGTGATTATTTATTTTCTTATTTTCCCTGTATGCATATATATCTGATAAAGAAATGTAAATGTGAATTAGAGCAAATAATACATTTTTGAATTGATACAGCCAATGACTGAGCCAGCATACTTTGGGAAGCATCAGTGAAATGATTTAGACTACATGACAATGGTTAAATCAGAACCAGCAGCCCAAGGAATAAAAAAGGGGAAAAACTAGTAAAAAGCCTTCCATTAACAAGTCTTGGCTAATGATTATTTTCTTTTTGAAACCAGCAAGACAAGAAAGATTGTTGTATGTACCGAAAGCAATTGAGAGAGATACTAAAATTGGGTTAAGTGATTAGATGCTAACTAGTATTCTCGTTAAGAAAAAAGTACTGTCCTTATAAAGTCTGAACGCAAAATTACTTTCTTTTCGAAACCAGGCAGGGCACCCAGAAAGTCGTACGTTCCCAAACAATACAGAAACATCATATAATAAAACATGGAAACAGAACAAAAAATCACCTTAGATGGCCTTTGCTAGAGATAGAGGCAACTGGTTTTGGAGTGCCATTGCGTGCGGCTTCCTGCTGCTCCCGAGCCTTGGACTCAAAAATAAAACATGTATACAGAACAAAAAATCACCTTAGATGGCCTTTGCTAGAGATAGAGGCATCTGGCTTTGGAGTGCCATTGCGTGCGGCTGCCTGCTGCTCCAGAGCCTTGGACTCAAAATATTCAAGCCATGCAGCAGCATCCTAAAGAGAATTCCAAATAAGATTAAGAATAGGATAATCCCTAAACTCTTAGGGCCTTCGGCAAGATACAGAAGTCTGTATTACCTGTGTACGTAGATCGTCCGGTCCAAGTTTAGCCTGCAGTATCTGAAGTGTGGTTTGTTCATGCTGAACGCTCAGAGAATATGCCTCCATTAATGAGAGAGCAATTGCTATAGCATGATAGCTGGCAGCAGTCTGAAAAAGAGAACCAAATATTCAGCATATCAAGATCTCACAGATGACATTGGCATCACAGGTGTTGTTACACTGAGAAGATAATGTTCTCATTGCCGTGCTGGGTGATAAAGCAGTTAAGAAAATATCTGCTTATCCCGTTAAAGAAGTAAACATAATGTACGCACTACACAGATCCACACAGAACATATTAATTTGATCATATTTTGTCCGTGGAGTTGGCCCAGGTAATATGCCTACCAAATTCATGTCATTATAAGGTACGATATTAATTTCTCATCGTAATGTTCTATAAAACTTATAGCTGGACTTCCAAGACCATCATACACCATTAGATCTCTGGTTAAGTCATATAAGGTTCATTTGTGAAGTCTCTCTCTATGAGTACTGAATACAAACACTTATCTAAT